ATGTTGCACCATGTTCCTTGGAGGAACGTAATTTCACTCCACTGTGTACTTGTACATAGATGGAATGACAATAAAGGGCTCTTGACTTAATGATATGGTTATTTACTAAGACAGGAAATACTGAAAGAAAATTCACTGAAGATTTAAAAGTTTGAATTTCCTATTTTAAATGTTGTTAGCTGAAACCCTATATATTTTAAATTAACTGATTTTAATCTCTCCACTAATTTACAATGCAGCACAAAGAGGATAATTCATTCATTTATATGAGGGCGATTAAGGAGAACAACTCTGTGAGTCCAGCAGCAGCAAAGACAATTAAGCTATTCTGAGGTGAGGTATGATAATAAAGGGGCTAATATGACAGAAGTTCATTTTCATTCACTATTAAGCATGACCAAAAGCATGAAAGCAAACTATGTAGCATAACATTAACAAATGAGCTCCAGAAGAAAGATGGAAAGCACATTTCCAGTCTATGATTCTGATACTTCTTATGTAATCCAAAAATAAAAGTACCCAAATCCTTAGATGTCAAGGGTTATTACTTTCATTGTGCTCCATGAATCAAATATAATTGCATGATTACACATTTAATTACATACTGTGTTACTCAGTGGATTACATTTACATTTATTTACATTCTGTGTTGACAGCTTCTGATTTTTCAGCTTGTTTCAACATGGCAAAAATATAAAGGTTTTTCTTTGCAAATCAAAACTTTATGCACAACAATAACTTCCACAAAATGTATATTATTATGAAATACCTCCTCTTTCACTTAAGAACACAAATGTGTGCACAGATGCTTTGGTAATCACCAATGATTATTATTATTATTATTATTTTGACTTCCAAGGATTAATAGCTTTTCATAGCAATATTACCTATATTGCAACATTACATTAAATGCGCTGCAGTGCTTTATGGAAACTTCACCTTCATCAAATTGGCATACTGGCATATAACAATTTGCTGATATTAATGATGGGTATATAAATCTCACTGATATACAAATGAAAAAGATCTGTTTAGATATATTTGTTAGGGATATTTGTTATGTTATAATAAACATTCTAATTCCCTGTACAAATGAAGCCCAAGTACTATTCTACCATACTTTAAAATCCAGCTAGCGCAAGGAAGATTACTGTGACCTGAGAGCTCTCAAAGACAATAGTTTGCATCATCTGACCAGAGTGACTCTTTATATCACATGACAAGCCCAGAGGTCACTACAGAACACTTATTGTGATAGCTGCCATCCCAGCTGCATGGGCTTCAACACTACAATGGGCACCAATTTAGTGTCTCTAGCAAGATTCTGTACTTACATAACATTTTTAAGTGCTTACTTATCAGTGGGTAGTAATGACATCAACTGCCTGCTGAAGCTGCCTTCTCTTCAATTTTTGTAACATACCTGTCCATCACTGTGAGTGACATCAAGATGGGGAGTGAGGCTGCCCAGAGACGGAAACTTTCAGTAGGTCAGTCAGTGGTCAGAAAGAAGAGGAAATGAAACCAGAGCTTTCTTCATGCTCATGCTAGCATAGCACAGCACAGGCTAGCAGTGTGGTGAAAAAGTGTGGAAAACTAGCCCTCTGCGGGAGAGCCACGAGCGGACTCAGAGGCCGGCACCCCCTGTGGCAGGCGCAGTGGCAGCTCTCTATGCCTTTATTGATAACATCCTTTTCTCGTGAGCCAGCCTGGATAATACACTCCCAGAACAAGGGTAAAGGGAGATGAATGTCAGACAATAGACGGTGGCAAGTGAAGGCAGTATCCGCACAGTCTTTGAACTTTTCCCTGTCTCCAAAGGACAATTAATAATGAAGGCCTTTGGGGTAGGTCACACCAGGCACGGACAAGAGGAGCAGCAGACATGAAGGAGAGAAGGGGAGAGAAACAAAAGAGAAGAGAGACCTGGGGAGGAGGGAGACTTGTCACTGATGTTGGATAATTGATCTTTTTGTGTTGGGGTAAGGTAGCACTGATCAGAGACTCGTACATTTATGTGCACGCGCTCTGAAACTGTGCGATTTAAAAGTGTATTGAGAAAAGGGAAATAAAAGTTCTTCATCTGATGTTCTTTTCATCAGATCTTCTCAGCATAAAGATAAGTGAAGGGAGGATGCTGTCAAAACAAGGCAAAATAGTCACAAAAAATGGAAACTTTCCCATTTTTTATATAAAAACAGAGCAAGTAAATGATAAGTGTGGACACCTGATAGGCCAAAGACACAAGGATGAGAGCTCTTGAAGTCAAAGGAGGTCTGTGTTCATCTGCTGTGGGGATACGGCCACCAACACTCTTTCAAAAGGACTCAGAGATCACAGAGACAGAGAAAGAAAGAGAGAAAGAGACTTAGCCTCTTCTATACACTCCTCGGACTGGCCATGTGGGGAGGGGAGGGAAAGAGGGAAACGGAGAGGGAAGGAGAGGGGGCTTTGGGCCAGGCCGGGTGTAGACTCAAGGGGCTTTGACAGAAAAGCCTTGAACTATTTTGTGGGTGAAAGATGAGACCCTCCCAGAGCTGTCATAAAAATGTCTCCTTATCCCAGTGGGGCCCGGGGACCCCACCCTCTCAGACCTCTTGAATGGCGCTTGTGATGTGATACAGTAAGTGTGAAGGCTGCTCCTGAGAACCAGGGACCACAGTCGTCTGGCCAGGAAACACCACTTTGACTAACAATGCCAAACTGTGCTGCAAGATTAAACAGGTGTTCGCTCTATCACACAATCTCACTATTCAATGTAGGAATAGTTTCAGTTGCTCCTCGCTCCTTTTTGCTGATATTTAGACTGCCTTTACAGCATTGCCTAAAGTTATAATATGTTTATTGAGGAAAAGAGCAAGACACAATTTAAATACCCTCTTAACAATAAAGGTTCCTGAAAGGTTCTTGGTTTGGATGTTCTAAAAACAACTTCTAACTGTTCATTGACCTTTAAAGTATTCTTTATACTCTGTATAGTAGACATCTCATTTACAAAAACGTTTCTTTAAGGAACCATCCGTCAAAAGGTCCTTTAGGGAGCCAAAAGTGTTTCTGTTCCAAATAACTCTGTTTGACACCTTGATTTTAGAAAAGTGTATGTGTAGCTTCGATGATGTATCCAGGCAAACATGTATCCAGGTAACCAGACAGATGTGCCCATATGTGGTTAGCAATTACACTGACATTTTCAGAGGAGGATCTCTGCAACAACAGTCACTCCCAGTTTTAATTTAGGCTTTAGACAACTCTTGTATGGGATGCTCTGAGTTAAGCCTTAACTGTATTCATTAATTGCATCGTCAAGCTGATAAATGAGTGATAATTATGAGTAAAACTGTGGTATACTGGAACAGCATCAAGAAGGGGAGGTGAAGGATAAACAGCTGAACTTGAAAGAAAAAGGCAAGCACAGAGTGTGCAACATGAGAGCGGGCAAGGCAATTAATGGAGCTCCTTTAATTGCGGCCTCTGCTCATTCCACCATGAGGAATGCGACAATTATGTCATTAAAAAGTTTGTAATGGGGAAGAGAGGAGGAAGGGCAGAAGGAGGGGGAGAAACAATGTGAAGAGGATGAAAGAAACAAGGCAGCAGAAGGAAACTGGACGAAAGAGAGAGAAAGAGAGAACCAAAGAAATGAGAGGGCCCAACAACTACAAAGAAAGTCTCAGAGGAGGAGGAAGTGCATCAGTGGTGCACATTGACAGACTAGATTAACATCAAATGATCAGCAAAACAGAGGACATATTCATTCAGGAGGAACTAGCAAGATGGAACTTGATGATGCTAAATTTGTCATAAAGAGTGACTTGCTGAATTGGCTGAGGTTCCAGTGTCATGCCTTGTGGCCTGACAGGTAGCAAAGAGTACAATTTGAAGCAAAAAAAAAAGTGTCCTTTTGCACAGTGGGAATGCGTAGTGGGAAAAAAAGCTGGGTGACTTCTTATCTACTAGACAAAACGCATGCAAGTCAGAGGCAGAAAAAAAACGCAGTCAGGGCTGGCTTTCTTTGTGTGATTTGCATTACAGATCAAATTTTCCTTGTGCAAAAAATAAATAAATAAATCCAGTGGTCTTTGATATAGACATGCTTGCACACCTGCCCAGTCTGCTCCTACTATGCAAATCAGTTTCTCCCTGACTTCAACTTCTCCTGCAACAACAGTCTTATTCATGGCACCAGGCAGTTTCTTCCCTAGCCATGCAAATTCCACATTTATGTATGGAAATAGGGAACACCTCCCCTAAATATGTTCCTGGTTGCAACGGTGTGGCAAGAGCATTTCTTTATATCTTCAGTCTTCATAAACCTTGGCTTTACTTTGAACTACTCACAATGAAACAGGGGGTTTGTATAGGGGGTAGAGTGGGTAGTTTTTGCTAACAGCTAAATAATGATGTAAGAATAGTGTTTTAATGTTTTAGAGTCCCTGTGGACAGTTACCAGTGGTGCTCTGAGCATTAAATATGAACATGGCAAATTATATTTGATAAGGACACGTGGACTTCAAGCATTGTTATGCCTGACTTTTCAAAAGACAGTTTTTTCAGCAGAAAAAAATAAATAAATAAAACAAAAAAAACTAAAAACAAAAGACTAGCTCATTCTGTTTACCTCATGAGCGAGGGGGAGGAGAAGAGTGGTTGGGAAGGCACTTGGCAGCAAATTGTTTAAAAATAAACAATTGTAAATTGTTTTCAAATGTATAAATTAGCAATGTATTGAAGACTACTTTTTGATGGTACGTATTTGAAACATACTTTTACTCAAGTAATAAACAAGTGTATATGTGTACTAATCATGTAACTGTGTTGTGTACATAGACATACACCATACACACAAGAGATACAAAAAAAGAGATTTCTCTACATGAGAATTTATATAGTATCTGCTTAATCACAGAAATCATGTGCCCTTTTTATATTAATAACTTTTCTTTTAATTTTGACAAACACACACACACACACACACACACACACAATAAACAACAGCTCACCTCAAAGTCGTTGGCCTTGTTGTAGTGCATGTTGAGGGCGCGATACAGCTCACAGTCTCGACTGACGGTTAGCTCCTCAGCTCCGGTCACACCATCATTGATGGCCTGCCGGGCAAACTTCTCCATCTGGATGTAGTAGAACTCCCGGAAGTTGCTAAACCACTTGATCAGCTGAGAGGTGATGCAGCGATTGAACTTGAAGAAAAAAACAGAAGCACTGTGTTTTAATATTAGTTACAAGACTATAGGGTCACAAAATATCAAAGATTTTAATATTCACAGAAAGATTGGATACTCCATTTTATCTTAGGGCAAAGGGCAGATTTTCACTACTGCACTTACATGTGTTAAATTCTTATTTTTGTTTTCCTTTTCTCTCTTTTTTGTAAATACTAGTCCAGCTCACATATCAACGATTCATTAAATTAAAAAAAAAAATAAAAAATGAACACGTGCAACATCTATATGGTTCCATTAGCGCTTTAGTGCTATGCTAACAACATTTACAAGGTAAGATATTAGTTTCTACAAATTTGTTTACTTTATATTGTCCTTGAGGATGACAGGTAAGAAAATATGCCCTCAGCTGTGACAGAGTGGTCAGGGTTTTTGATGGAGACTTGCAAGATCGGCACAGATACTTGCTGTTGTGCACAAATGCAAACAGTTCAGGGTTGAGTGGATGAAATTATAATTGTGTCAACAGCCTTTAAAGCACTGACAGCAAATTTCCATATCAAGCAGCTCAGTTAATTCTGATATGCCCTAGGGCTACCCCACCCTCCCATCCCCCAGCACTAATAATATCCGCACAAAGGGTGAAATTGAGTGAACACACAAAATTAAATAAAAACCCTGCAACAAGTTAGCTGTGCTACAGAGGAGGAGGTGTATGTAAAACACGGGTCATTGAGTGATTCTGGGTAATTTGGAAGCTGCACTATTTCAGGAAATTTAGTGAACCTAATGCTACACTCACCACTTACTTTATTAGAAACACCTACCTTATACATACACATGTTACAGATACGCTATATCTATTCAATTACTCGATACGTCATTGCTCAGTTTCTAACTACAGGGCTGTGGCTGACCACATATGTTTTGGGTGGTGGACTCTCCTCACAACAGCAGTGACACTGACATAGTAGTATGTGCTGTGTTGGTATGAATGTATCAGGCATTGCTGGGTTTCTCTACATGTCAGTCACCTTTATTTTTAGGTCCAAATAAGAGTAAAATAGAAAATCTACGAGTGGTTCTGTGGTCGGAACCAAACCATTGATAAAGGGCTAGATGGCAGCTGACAAAAACTGTGCATGACAACAGACAGATTATAGTCTCAAACCATACACCAACAAAGTGGTGTTACATAGTAAGTTGAGTGTAGTGTGCACCATGTAAAACTGTGTGGCTTTGTATAGTTACTCTAAAACCTCAGCAAGTGACCTACAGCCACAAAAGCACTGTAGCTCTTTAGTTTTTGTGTGTTACATTTTGCTGTATCTTTTAGTGATGTGTCGGCACAGCTTTGTCAAGTATGTGAGTACGCATGACAACTGAGGTGTATGTAGCTGAGTTAAAAGCTAGAAATCCAGTGGGCTTTCTGTCGGCTGCTTTTAGTTATTATGGGTGATCATCAAGCCCTGAGTCGCCTTCCACTCCATGCCCCTCCCTCTGAGAGCGCTAATCACTAAAACTAACAGTGAGCAATTATCTATCTGTAGTGATGAGAACGTGTAGGCCTGTGTTTAGATGACAGCTGAGGAGGGAGAGGGGAGGAAGGGGGAGAGTGAGAGAGAGAAAGGAAAGTCATGTTGTGTGTGGGTAGATGTAATTACCATGTAGAAACTTGCCTCCATGCTCTCAAATTTACGATAATGAAGTGAGTGAGAATTCATAGTGGGGAGCAGTCAGAAGGAGAGACCCAAGCTACAGCAGGCTGATGGCTTCCCCCAAAAGGCCAGGTCATGGGTGTAATTACACTACCACTGTAAGGATTTTTCACACATAATTGACCAGAAAATGATTAAGTCATCATTCAAATGCTCTAGTCTGCACAAGTTCAAACATGTATTTAACCTACACAAGAGTTGTACATTTTGGTTGCATGGCAGTTTTGCCTTTTTTCACAGCACAAAGAACAAGAGAGTAAAAGAGAAAGCCAGCAAGAGAGAGAGAGTGTGTCAAAGAGAAAAAGAGAGAGAGAGAGAGAGATTGAGAAAGTGGGGTTATCTGATCTCCTGGTTAGCTGCCTTACAATAGAACTTCTCATATTAGTATCTACTGAACTTGGAAGGCAACCTTTCCGTTACATCTGCACAGCAAACATTCGCTGTCCAAATTTCCAGACACTGAGATAAGGATCCCTGGACCCTGTGACGACTTATTCACTTGCACCCCCCTCGTCTTAATTCTCTTAGAATAAGAAACAAAACAGTACAAAATGATAGCAGCCTGCTCACTGGGGAATGAAAATTGCTTTGACATGGAGATTAGGCCTTTCCATTGTCATAAGACATTGTCTCATATGAGCGAAGCTTGCAGAGAAAAGGAATGAAAGGCGAGAGAGGGAGGATTTTTTTTCTAGAATGGCCAGCGGATGACATAATGGTGAGCACAGAAAAGTAAGTCCGCATGACATTGTTTGGCAGTGTGGTATAAAAGGAGATTTAAAGCGCATTGTTGCCGAATAGAAATGCCAGAGATTCAGTGGACAAAAGGGCCGCATTGCTGGAACGTGACAAGTCAGCAATTAAGGATTGTGTCATCTGCTTGTCAAACAAACATGGCCAATATAGTTCTTAGGCCTCTCTTATACTGAACAAAACACAAAGCAGCAGGTTAAAGTTAACACACTTATAGGCACATAGTAATATATATGAAATTATACGTTACCAGTGTTGTAACTTAAGACTATCCAATCTATGTTCAATGCAGTTGGGGAGCGATCGACTCAGAGAACCTGTGTGCGTATAGGTGTGTGCGCTGACAGGAGCGTTTCACACACTCATGCTCACAGGCCTGTGAAAGATTATTCCTCTAGCAATAGAGATCCCTCTTTCTGAGTCACAGGGGGGAAGATTTGACCCGTCACTCTGCACGTTTCCTCTGTTAGCCATGGACAATACGGGCTTTCACATCCACCTCGCAAGCCTGTTTGAGACACTACTTATATGGGGACTCTACCCCTCCCACTACCACCTCTACCTTCAGAACCACCACCACTTAAGACTTGCACTCTTAACTTGAATGTGGGAAAAGTCAGGTTCTACAGAACCTAGTATGCCAAGTGCCCCAGTAGGTTACTCGATATTCATCTGTTAATGGTGTCTGGCATGTTGTTATTTCAGCACAAGAAAATGGCTCATGAAAAAAGATGTCAGGATAAAATAATTTTCCTCAACTCTGGGTGACCTTACTGCTGTTGCCCCTGTTGCTGGTCAATTGTAGGTCTTGACCCTGGCACAGAGATTAAAAAATAACAACCATCTTTACACTTACTGTGACTTTTCATAATCGTAGACACTTTCTCCTCCTCCTGAGTAACCTCTGGCCCTATTCAACTATTCAGCATAGACTAGAAAAGGCTAGTAGTGAATATACCATATCAAGTCTTATACAATAGACTCATGGTCAGAAAATAGATATTGGATATTGGAGATTGAAACAATGAAATAAAGCAAGCTATCATGATCCTTGTCTCTAGTCTGACCCACAGTTTAATCACTATGAGAATACACAGATTTCCCCACATCTTTAAACACTACCGCTTAGAGCTGGGTGAAATGGCAAAATATTGACATCACAATACTGATAAGACACTTTCTTGATACACAATATGCATCACAATATTTAGTTTTTCTGAGATTTAATACATTGGAATAGACAAAATAGAACCTGTAGTGCCACTAATAAAAATACTAGTGCAATATTAATATTATTATTATTATTAATAATAATAATAATAATAATAATAATAAAAAACATACAACTACAATGATTTTTATATTTATGTTACCCTGCACAAAATGCCATTAAACAGGCCTCATTATGTGCACTTTGTAACTAAACATAATTAGTCAGTTTTCTTTGAGTGTTCTATGAAATCCATGATAAGCTCCGAAAAGCTCATTGTGACAGAATTTATGATGATAATGATAAAATATTGTCATATTAACCACCCCTACTTCAGCTGACAACTGAATACAAAAGAGAGCAGGGGAGAAGATCTATTGCTTATGCATTTAAGTAATTGGCCTAAAATAGCTGGTTTAGGAATCTTGAAACACTAAACTTTTAAGTACAAGAACCAATTTTTATTTGCTGACCGCTCAAATATGTATGTATAATGTAATGTTAAAAAATGATTTCTTTCCCCCCAAACCAAGTCTATTTTTTATTTTAACAGTTGTCGATTTTCCTACTTGTTTTACAATACAAATGCAAACAGGACTGTGTTGTTCTGGCTTAATGTAACCATAACAATCTATTACCTTTATTAGATCAGACTTACTTTATTAATAAGGTAATGAACAATATTCAAACTGAAAGAGATTTTATTGATAATGTGGTCAAACGACAGGGGCTTTTATTATGTCATTGAAGACAATTTTTGCGAAACAGTTGTCGTATCAACCTATTTCCCACAGTCATTATTTTCTATTAAGATCCCATCATTGTGGTGAATACATCTTTTTAATTAGTTATTCCCATAGCTTTCATGAGCTTATTCCACTGTAATTAGTCAGTAATTTATGCTTAATTCCCTAACATACACACTTTTTGATCCAGAAAACACATGCCTCCCATTGTTCCACTGTGCCAATGCACCCCTGAAAAAAATGTTCCCAGCACCCTGACCTTGTTTCAGAATAATTTCATGTAGTGTATTAAGAATGGCATGACCTTGTCTAAAAATGCAATGTAAATAGACAACTTCAATTATTATTTAATTAAATCCGCATCATCTCTTTACATCTAATAGCTCAGTGTCAGAATAAGTGACAGCAAGTTCTCATGACCGCTGAGAAGTATTTCTTGCACTGATGCCACTATATTCAGCAGGACAGTAGATAGTAGCCATGATGATGTGGTCGCAACAGACCCAGGACAGGGCCAGCTGGGAGTGAGAGGACCCTCCTTTCCTCATTTGAATAATGTGGCCTGAATCTGTCACATTATTTCTCCCCCCGTATGCTCACTGTACGATGCATCAACAACAAATTAAGTTGTAAATAAGAGACACCATTGTTTTGTATGTGTTCTCGTGCTCTAGTTTGTTTATTGCCCCCACCATTCTCTCTTCCTTTCACTTGCCTGGTTTTCCCCAACCCCTTTAGATTCATCATAGCTTATCACCCCCTACCCCCCCTCCTGGTATTCCAACCAACAGCAACAGTTAAGAGATGTGGGTGGGAACTGGGGGTCCCCTGGTAGTTTTGCAGCATACTTCACACCACCCAGATAGCTATTAAAAAAACAATGCAGGCTAGCATTTTTTTTTCTCATGAGCTGTTTTTAAGTGAAAGCAAGAGAAAGGGAAAGTGGGCTTTTAGGTTTAGCTCTGCAATGTTGTCCTTCTCTAGGAGATTAAGGCCAGTTATTTTAATTGGAAGAGAAAGAGAGTGAGAGTGAGTGAGAGAGAGAGAGTTGGCCGTCTGTTCAGGACCCATCTGGGCTAGTGTGGCAGAGCCACTTCTCACGACATGTGGTTAACGGTCAGAGACAGGCTCACCTTCACATCGGAGAAGAACATCTTCAGCATGTTGGAGCTGGGGTAGCGCGTGTAGAAGAACATCAGCTTGGCTTTCTTCAGGTGGTTAGGGGAGAGTCCTTCTTGGATTTGGGAAAATGGGAGGTCAAGGAAAGTATACCGAAATACACAAAAAACTTTATGAATACTATATATATATATATATATATATATATATATATATATATTACAATTATAGGTACACACACACTAAATTATATATATATATATATATATATATATATATATATATATATATATATATATATATATATAATTGTGTGTGTGTGTGTACCTATAATTGTAAAATAAACACACACAATAAATAATAAACAGAAACTTTCCAGAGAAAGACATTTATAGTTAACACACTGCACTATGTATATACAGTACATAACAATTGTGCTAAATTTTTAAAATGCTAAGACAAAGAAGTCCAACAATACTTCCTTGTCCAGCAGCTTATGTTTTCAAGCCACAAATCGCAACCTATACTTAACAACTTCCTCTTTCTGACTGGTTTATTAAAAGACCTTTGAAGGTCCTAAAAGAGTCCTAGTCAATATACTCAGCTTTGCTGGTCAATAAATGCCTGCTTATCCCAATAAAAACTCTGTTTATCTAGAGGTGGCATTGCCCTCTAGATTGGTAAACAGACGGCTGCTGAGTGGAGTCCCAGGAGGAGTCATGGCTAACCAGAGCCATCTACCCATTACAGTTCACCCCAAACCAACCCCCAGCCCTCCACCCTCAGCCCCCCACAGCCTCCTGGCACGGCCCCCGTGCTGCCAGTTAGGCCGGCTTTAGCCACATCTGCGCTGCAGACTGGCCATGCCATTTCCTCGGCAAATTAACGGCTTTATAATTTATCAAAAATGAAGATGCATGTGGGGCTAAATCAATGGGCCCCTGCAAGGTCAATTAAGAGGCTCGCCCGGCGGAGGCCTACCCCCTCCCTGCAATGCAGAGAGCGGGCGCTAATTCACCACTGTGGCACCTTCAAGTGAGTTCATATGTTCAGTGTATCTGTATTGTGTCCATTTCACAATCGAGGCGTCAAATACAAAGAATCATGCTGACAAACTGTGTGGAGAGACACGGATTAGTATGAAATGCTTTATGTGCCCTGATACGTGCATAAAAAATATTCTAAGAAATCGATTTTTGTTTATAAGTAATCAAATAGACTCAGTGCTATTTGTGTTGCAGTGGCTCTGCAATGATGCTGTCCACGTTGATTGACATGCTCCTTGTGCTAGGAAAGAAGGGGAGGAGTAGAACCCTGTGTGACCTCCATTAGGCTGATAGGGAAGACTAAAAGAGCATTAGCCTCTCTCTTGTGCCATCTGTCATAACGCATACAGCAAATAACAGCAGTGAATGAGAGGGGAAGAGGATGAGAGAGAGTGAGAGACAGAGGAAGAGAAAGTGAAGTCTGATTTTCAAGGACTTCAAGGCTTACTCAGGAGCATACAGAATGCAATGCAGCCCCTTGAATGAAGGCCTCAGCGCAAAGAGCATCTCCACGATACACCAGTAGAGTAGTGAGAGAGTATTGGGAGAACTGAGAATTGGGTTAGATTAGAGAGAGAAAGGACTAGTAACATCCTCACCGGCTCCCTCTTCATTATATTAATTACACTGAAATGTCCCATTCAAATTATTGAAAATGCCCCAGAAAGCTCAGATAAGCAGCAAGGCTCACCAGCAATGCAGTGCAATTAAATTTCTTAGTAAGTAATTGGTACACCGTCTCCATCTACACTGAAGACAACTTCTAAAGAAAAACACACATTTGGGACAAAAAGTGTCATTTCAACACTTCTCTGAAACAGACGTAAGTGCTTAGGTCCTGGAACAATATATGAGCATGACTTGATGGAGCTGACTCACCTAATGCCCATTTCCTACAAGGAAACCTCTCTTCCAAGAAAAATACAGCCGTTTCTAGGATACGAAAATATGCGCAATGACAAAATAGATCAAGTAAACACTGCTCCACTCGGTGTAAAACAAGCCGGGCCACAGCCAAGGTCAGTCAAGGAAATAACGCAAACATGAATATGAAGAATTGGAGGAGAGGGAGGAAAACAGGTTGACCGTGGTTTATAGCCACATGGGATGCTACATAAACAGCAGTGCCATGTATGCTGTGCACCATCAGCCCTTTTTGGATTTGGTTTTGGATTCACTGTGTTTCATGAAAGGGAGACAATAACTACTGAAATTTGATCCAACTGCCAGGTGTAAGGAGAGAGAGGGAGGAAAACATAGGGATGATAAATCCATAAATTAATGCCAGACATCTGCTCGGCAACATAAAAGATTAGACAACAAATGCACTACAGCTGATCCTAACCTCCTGTTGAAAAAAAAAAAGAAAAAGAATCTTTTTGAGTGTTTAAAGTGTGGCAGCTTTAATTTAAAAAGAAAACACACATTATTCTTTTAATTCGGCAGAGAAAAAGCGGATGATGAAATCTGAAGGATTCCTATTGTAATACTACCATGTTAAAAAAAATCTGCCTAATAACTTTATTCACTTGAGTGTATTTAACTTAAATATTTGTTGAATTGCTGCTTCTCTATGGGACTGTGCGGCTTGTAGCTTCAGCTAAATAAAATAAATTTAAACTATGTCTTTAGGACAACAGCGGACCTCAGCTCTGTCTGCTACATTAGACATGCAAACTGCTTTCAATAACCCCCCATCCCCACCCCCCACCCCCGTGTGTCTTACAGGCGTACCGTGCCAGAGCTGTTCGGTCTCTCTATATGCAAATGCTGGAGGGAAACTGAACAAGGCTATTTTTCTTGAGATGCAAAGAGGGCGCGTGACAAGGAAGATCATTCTGTCCACGGCTGAAGACAATTGGCTGCCTGTTACTCTTAGTATTTGAATAAAATTTAATATTTGATTAAACACCCTATTTTGCAAATATCGAGACATTGCTGTTAGGAGCCCAACTGTGCAGGTGCACGCATGTTTATTGGACAGAATAATAGGAGCTTTGACTTTGACGTTCAGAAGTAGATTCATTTGCCTTTAAGCTTGTTCTCTAATGGGGATAAAAATAATCAATTACGAATATTTTATAAACACAACCTGCAAATAAGTATATATTTATCAATTAAAGTATATATCATAACGTAATTAAAAGAATCACTCATAGGTAATTATAGCTTATGCAAGAATTAGTCACATTTAAGGAGTAAGTGAATTTCATTAAAAACAATTGTTAATTTAAAAGTGCACATAGTGCTCTTTCAGATCTGTCTGTTCTTAAAATGGGCTTATTCAAAGCTTGTTAGACATCTAGTGGCTTTTTGGTAAAAAAAAGAGGGAAGGGGATGAAAGATAAACAGCTACCTGCAAACACCTGTTCACACCAAAAAAAAAGAGATGGATGAAAAGAAAAGATCTGCTGCCAGGCAACAGCTATTAGTACTGCAAGTGCTTCCGACTACAGCGAGCTGTTTATAATCATAAGGAATAAGACAATTTGTAGATATTCTCTGAAGCAATACCTTGAAGAGGAAGTATTGGGAAAAAATGAGGGCTGTTTAAGGAAAGAAAGAAAAAATAATAATAAATTGTACTCCGGTTCCTCCTGTTCCTTTAATTTATCATTAAACAAGGACAAATTTTTCTGAACTAAAATGCCCCCTCATGGACAGATATCTTTTCTTGTCTTTCTAAACACAAGATGCTAAGACCTCTCAGCGAAGGATCCCACTTGTCCTTTTACTTCCTGGCTTTGAAATATGATTTGCTTTGAGCATTTATGTACAAAGTCTTGCATGCGCTGTGATGAAAGAGGGGGTTTTATTGTGAGTCTCTCTGTGATAGTGTGAGAACAGAGAAGATGGGAGGTATCTTCACCACCGCGGGGCCTTTCAGCACTTCTCCCTATAGCGCACAGTTAAAAGCCCCCAACCACAGAGCTGTTTTTTAATCTTTAAGCCACTGCATGAACACAGCGTTTTAAACATGTGCCAATTAATGGAGATAAATTGAAATTAAATTGCATTTCTTAACCCCTCTGCAAGAACTGTCCTAGTCATATGCAATACATTATGCAAGTGCTCAAAGTCCCATCTCATGCATGCCCTCTGTGTCTGCTCAATGCTTATCGAGATCTGATGCCTGTAAAATTCTACAAATATTAAAGCAAACACATAATTATAAACAGAATCAAATGGATATTAAGCTTTTGTGAAAGGATATTGTACTTCCTGAATATGGAGAGATGTCAGACATATCTTGGAGGTCACCGCATTCAGACTTGATGAGTGATAAGGAAAGGCCTTCGGGGTTCCCTGGGTGTGATGGTGAAATGGAACGATGGTGACTGAGGTGGTTTGATGACATCTTGGTCCGTAGGCTGGTGGTCTCTCTGGACAGGTCCAGGGACTCAGGAGAAGATCTGTCCTTGCCTGGATAAGGCCCAGTGGGTGCACCTAAAGGGCTCTGGAAAGGGTAACCCATGAGCGGAAGAGGGAAGGGATGGCGAAAGGACGGAGGACTAAAACCCATAGTTGTGGATAATGGTGATGGGTGCAGAGCAGGGTGATGGTGACCCGCAGGTGTGGGCAAAGACCCAGCCTGGTCTGCAGAGTTCTTTTTCACCACTAAAGGCAGGGCCTCTGTTTGGTCATTTGTGTTGGGCACTTGCGTGTTGCCAAAAGAGTCAAGTGGATTAGGAATGATGACATCGCCAAAACACTGCAAACGCTGGTTAGTGGTGTGGAAGTTTGGGTTCTCGCCATTGACTGCAAAGCGCTCTGGAGGTGTCTGCACAGGGGGAAAGATCTGAGGAAGTGGACGTGGGGGCTTTGCGAAGACCTTTACCACTGTGTCCACTACCTGGGACATGGCAGTGTTCAGCTCTTGTTTTAGAGTCTCTGCTAGCTGCTTCCCTTCTGAATGCATGGACGTTGGTCCCTTTCCGCGGGAGCCGTCCCGCTTGGGCTTATCTCCCTCTGTCATCATGGTTTGCTCACGAATGAGTGCTCGGGCTCGGTCCAAGAAATGTCCTGGATCCAGGTCAGACATCTCATTGTCTGAACGGTCTGGGGCAGAATCACGGGCACGATTGTCCATTCCATCAGAACGCATGCTGTCTTCTGAGAGGTTCCCATCTTCGTCATTTTCAGAGTCAGTGCTGTCGTAAATCTGATAGAACTTCTCCTGCAGTTGCCGGAGCTGTTTCTGCATGTCCTCCAGTTGCAGTTTGAGTTGCCGGCGCTCTTCATGCTTCTGTTCTTTGCGAGCTGAGACAAGCTGCTGGAAACTCTGCTGCTGCTGGGGCAGTTTCTGCTTACGCTTGTTTTCTCTGTAACCCTCACGGGGACTTGGGGGCTGGGGCACCCCCTCACGCTCATTCTCACCTGTGCGGTGTGTGACACTGGGAGAGTGGCTCATGCCACGAATGATGTTCTCCACTCGGGCACGTTTCGCCCTCAGGTGCTCGTCTGTCAGCCGATCGATGTCAAATGGGGCCATGGAGGGCCTGCTGAAGGGGGACAGGCACTCCTGAGGGCTGCCCCGTGACGAAGTGCTGCAGGCATCTTCCTGGTGGATCTCTGAGCCAGTGCTAGAGAGGCCACTGCTCTGGAAGTTGGGCTCGCTGACTCCATTTTTGGTTAAATTGTTTTTTAGCAGCTGGGAGATGATGGTGGCCCCAGGAAAGGGCATCATGGCATCTTCATAGGAGTTTGCCCTCTTCAGCAACTTGCGAAGCACATTGGACTTCTCACTGTCTGCGTGCTGCACAACTGTACACTCAATATCTTGTTCAGATCCGTGGGGATTCATGGCACTGAAAATGCTTGCTTTTGATCGGCCGAAAGCCACTGACGCTGTCCCTACAGTCCTTTTCACTCCAATGTCAACTCTTCTTCTCTTGGTTTGTCTACTTAAGAGGGCTGTGCTGTCATGGTCAGGCATCACTGGAACTCTTATTGTGCCATCTTTAAAAGCCTGTCAGCTGGACATAGCTTGAGAACCCTGTGAACCTGGCCAAGGCAAAAACAACACTAATGAATAAGTTTATTTACCTATGTCCAAGACTTCAGCAAATTATGATACAGGCATAATATTACAGGTAATTTGTGCATATTGTTATCAAATGCATCACAAATTGTTCTCTTTAGGATAAAAAGCATTTGCAAATATCTAAGTAGTATTAGTTTATAGGTTTAACTGAATTATACATCTTGAGTACCTTCCACTGCAGTAAGCAATGAGGCAAAATGCAAACAAAGATTTTTTTTTTAAATAAAGGATGAAGATAGAACCCTTAATTAAAAAAACTGCATATGAACAGAACAACAATGCAAGTTAACACAACCCCTTCCGTTTTACCAGTTTATGGGGAACTGCTATACAATGCAGTGAGGACGTTGCTTTATTCTCTGGAAAAACAGTTGACTATATGGAACCCTCTGTTCACAAGAAATAAAAAGCAATAAACAAAAAAGTGCTAAAAAGCAACTTTAGTCAACAAGACTTGTCTATATCATTTGTGTAACCTAATCCTATTTTACAAATTAAATTAGTTCACAAAAAGATATAATCCAAGTCTTTCACCAGATATAAATAAAAAACAACACATTAATTAGTAAGAAGTAATACAGTCATTTATAGGCAAACTTTATGAAATCCTTTGTTGCTGTAACCTTACAAAGCACTGTTAGGCTAATGTCAATTCTTCATTCACTGGTCTCACCATGCTGAGGATAAACACTTTGGTCTCTGCTATTGTCTTCAAACGCCTCTGAGGCCCATAACTTTTTCCTCAGCTAAGAAAAAGTGCTCAAAAACTGCTCAAGTCTAACTCTGGGCGAAAGAAGTTCCTCAAACAGACACGAAAAGTTTATATATGCACGATTAGTAAAAAATTTAACACTGAACAAAAACTCACTGAGCGTGCTCTTACTTCAATTAGACTGCCTCTCTCCTGGGGACCTTTGTGGAGGCAAGCTGATGTTCGCGAATTTCTACAACACTATTCAAGTATTGAGATGTCTAAACAGAAAATTGACAACTGACAACAAAACTGATACTAACGGAGGTCGTCAGAGAAACCTCTAACCTAGAAACGGCACATCAGTACTTCGCACAGTTTTAATACAATAAAAAAAACAAGAGAACAAAAGAAACAACCACTAAATATTACACGTTGTCCGCGTTTTGTGAACAAAAGAAACAATTATAGGTAAAGACATGCGTAATGATGGAGCCGTGAACACCACCGAGCGCTAACAGCTCACATGCAGTGCGAGTTTTGGCGAAATACGCGCTTCGATCTGGGAGCGAAGTGGCAAACTAGACTGCCAAGGAACTGCAACAGATACAGTAACAACAAAGTACAAGGAACAAGCAAGCGCATCCATGCAAATTAAAAGCAAATCTGTCAGTGAGGCACAATGACAAATATTCCATTAAGCCAACACAGAGATGGGATGTAGATGAAAAAATCGAGAAAGATACGAAACAAACCCAAATTCAGGCATACAAGACATAACTACAAGGCGAAGCACTGATTTGATGAGTTTAAAACAACTCTAGACGTGAAGGTGTACAGAAAATCATCAAAGCACGTTATCAGTACTTACTTGTAAGCTTTGAAAAGTGAGCGAGTAAATTCCCTGAGTGAACGACAAAACACTCCTAATAAACGTCAGAGTGCGTTTAAAAATCCTAATCATTCTGAGCTCGTACACCTACTTAACCAATTAACGCTCACTACAGATAAAGCAATAGGCTACGCTGCACCTCATGAAAAGTAATCCGCTGCGAACGAACGTTTCGGATCACACAGAGAGAGAGAGTGTGTGTGTGTAAGAGAGAGAAAGGCAAGCTACGTGAGGACAAGGTTACTTACTCTGAAGATGAGAGCGAATTGAGCTTCTTTGCAATAGTGTTACAGAGAATAGAGAGGGCTGTTCGCCCTGCGATGAATATTGTAATTTCTCAGGATAAGCGAGCGCTGTGTGTGTGTGTGTGTGAGTGAGAGAGAAAGAGAGACAGACAGACAGAGAGTGAGAGAGAGAGAGAGAGAGAGAGAGAGGGGAGAGAGAGACAGAGATAGAGAGAGAGAGAGCTCTTGTGCGCCGCTCCTCTCTCTAGATGGAAATAGACCGCCTGAGCGAAGAGCAGCAGCGCGAGGCCGGAGCGCGCGCTCGCACCAACAAGATTCACTTTAAGACGCAGCTGAAGGAAGCAGGAAGACGGCGCGTCATAATCAGCGTGATGTAACGTTCTCACCTACCAATAAGAACAGGCCGCTGGATTTGGAGCGATACAAAACACTGAACTTCACAGACGAGGACGAAGACGGCCAGTCGACATAGGTACCAGCAAAGCGACGAGGGGTAATTTAAGTACGTTACTTGGATTTTGAGCTACTTCGCTACTCATTTCTTTATCATGTTCAGAATCACTCGGGCTTACTTGTTATCCCATTTATATAAATGCTAATTGCAAAAAAATAAATAATAAGAAGGATAATGACAAAAAAATCTGTATTTTTATATTATATCCATTTAAAGGGCATTTGGTGATCACATGTATTGTATATAGGGTAATAAATGTTTAAATAAAATACATTTTTAAAAAGCAAACTCTTTGATATAGAAGACTGTAATGAGACTTGCTTATTGTTTTAAAACTCCTCTCAAATCCACCAAGAGGTTCCTAAAGTCATACTTTCTTCACTTTGTCTACTTTCATCATCGTTTTGATTAATTACATAGTATTTCTCGCCATCTTTAAAAACATTCTGACAAAACTATGGTCCGTTTGACAACTTGCTACAGCGTTCGTTCCTCATCAAAATCCATTTGACCAGGCTTCTGTCGGACTGTGGAAAGTCCGAACCTGCTAGACACTGTCCGTCTGTTGGTCTCCAGTGAGCACACATATCCAACAACTTCGGCAGCATGCAGTTTTGCGCAGAATTTACAGCCGCATTCTTTCAGGGGTACTAATAAGATTTTGGATTTGGGAAAAGAATATATATATATATATATATATAATATATAATAATATATATATATATATATAATCTGAGGTCTTTTGAGGTTTTGTATGACTTTTGCTAAATTAGTTTGAGAATCAGCTTTGATGAATAGTGCATTTCTACATACTCCTAGTCAACAAGGCATCAATTAGTTACCAATAACACGATCTTTTAAAATATATTTTATATTCATATTTTGATAGATAATTTCAGCCAATCAAAAGCTGTGTCACTTTTCAGCGGTGAGTGCTCTCGGCATCCAATCGGGCGCCATGGCAGCCTATGTAAGCAGATTTCTGAAAGCCCTAACCTACTTTTCCTTGAACTATGTTTTGCTCTTTGTTACAGTTTAACAGATGGACAGAGCTCTGCGACCGTCCGGTTGTCTTTTCTCGCATTTTTGCATGATACCTGGGATTTCAGGCACAATATAAAACTTCCAGATTTTCTCCTTGACACTAATTTCTTCGGGTTCATCTTGACATTCTGCCCAATCAAATGAACTTAATGTGATGAGGGAAAAAGGAGTTGTGGTGCCATATAATTTAAAGGAAAAGTATGTAATGCAAAAATGTAGATATTAGGGTCAGTGTTGGCTTACAGTGACTGCTTAGCCCTAATAATTACAATGTTTAAATTTAGAACGCTTTATGTCAACTCATATAAGTGGTCACAGTCATTCAGAAGCAGGTTTAGGATGATTCTGAGCAAATTCCAGCATGTCCAAGCGGATCCCCACAGCAGCTCGCAGCTCAACCTTTTGACCAGTTAATGAGATTATTAACTGTACCAGTTCACGCGGGTGTTAAGCTTAACAAACCCCAGTTTATAATTCCTATTTTTTTCTTTCAGAGTTATCATTTTTCAACGGCCAGGTTATTATTTATTATTATTATTATTATTATTATTATTATTATTATTATTATTATTATTATTAATAATAATAATAATAATAATAATAATAATAATAGTGTTCTCGTAGGTTACATGACATTTCATCTCCTTGAAATTTTGTACTCTTATACACATAAGTTTCCTTGTGTCCCGTGTGCAAGTTAAGCTCATCAAACAAAAAACAAAATGTACGTAGGTAAGCACAGTTATGATCTTACCTCTTCAAATGCAACTTTTGTCCAAGTGGACAACAGAATTTATTTTTTCAAGCTATTTCCAAGTTACAGCAACATTATTTTGGGCGAAACTGGATTTCGGTATCATTAATTCTTTTTCCACGTGTTTGCTGGCCCCGCTGGCATCTTTCCCCAAAGGCGTCAGTGATGCGCAAGTATAATGGAAAACACATTACAGCGTAGAGGAAATGTGTTTAAATAAGGAAAAGAGGAAAAGACTGCCACTGTCTGATGTCCTAGTTAATATAATGTTGTTCAGCTCTTTCGGGAGCAATCACGTCCGTCTTCTTCTGTTATCAATTTAAATGATTCTTATATTAACGTTGCGCATATTTTTGGACTCAAATTAAGTACATTCAGTCGTTTGTGACAGAGTAAGCTTTGACTCCAGCGCAGACGACCTCTGATTTGTCCGCGCACCGACAGCGCGCTCACCTGTTCTTCTCCCGGTAAACTTCACTTTGTGTCGAAAAGATTTAAAAGCTTCGCAAATTCAAAACAAACAGGGAAAAAGAAGTGTTTAAAAACGAACATGCCACTACAGAACATTTGACACAGCTATGTAAAAGTGAATGAAATAAAATTCCGATACTAAGGCAGCGTAGCACAGCTTTTCAGCTTCTCTCCGACAGTTTTCAGCAGACTTCACTGTGTGGCTGGTACGAATCTGTCACAAGAGAGCGAAAGGCATGATCTCGGTAGCAAAATATGAAAAACTGCTAAATGAAAGGTGCCGGTACTTATGTTGATTTTTGCAAGAAGCATACAGAGAAGAAGAAGAAGAAGAAGAAGAAGAAGAAGAAGAAGAAGAAGAAGAAGAAAAAGAAGAAGAAGAAGAAGAAGAACAACAAACAGCAGCAATTTAAAGAAGACTTTATACTTAATATGACTGCAGTACAGGGATGAAGGGAAAGCAGGGACAGCAGAACCAAAATAGTTTCATGAGAATTGTGATCTCATTGACCTTAAAATAACAATAATAAAAAAATAATACCAACATAAGAAAACCAAAACATATGTGGACACATAGTTCCCTTCCTGAGTTTGCTTTACTGACACTCGTTGTCAGAGTTGGAGGTGCTGACGGGTTATCAGCTGTCTTCCTGTGTATTGATGTAATATGTAAATGAAATGTAACAACCTCATTAATAATTCTCCATTCATAAGCTTATATGGATTAACTAATGAGTTTTTACTGTATGCTGCAATGCGACAACCTACTGCCATGCGATTGTCAGTGTATTGCACTGTGCATAATTACCGAAGATTCCACATATAAGCTTCATTCTCACTTGGCAGAATATTTTACAATTATAAGGTCGTTCAGCTATGTGACTGAGTCACAGGAAGGTATTTGAAGCAAACCTGATAATATTCCAGAAGTTTTTATTTGTTAGTTGCATGCGTGCTGTAGGTCAAAGCATTTGTAAAACCTATTAAAGGCAAATAAATATTCTCATTACAGACGAGTGCTACTGATTATTTGATGTGATTATATGGTAGTGGGTGCGTTTTACTTTTTTGGGGGAGGGGGTATAGTGGGCCTTAAAAATATATAAGCATTGTGGATAAACATAATGCGTGCAAATTATTACATGAAAGTAAACGCTTTTAAGACTTTTTATGTTTCCTCAAAAGACCTTACAGCAATAACCACACACCTATAAGGTGAATACTGTAGACACACAGGGATTATGCTACTGAACAATACAGGAAAGTCATAAAGATGAAAATGAAATTGATACTGGGGGCTATTGAGGTACATTTTGCCTTAAAAACACGCAGTTTCACTAAGTCTCTGCTTCTCTCATTTTAAAAACATGCAGTTAAAACATGCATTTATTCAAATGGCCAAAGTTGACATCCTAACACATTAGCAATTCAGATGCTAGATCAACAAACAATGAAGAACGGAAAGCAACCAGGTTTCAAAAGGTCACTGCAGTGGATTACACATGTCTTGGATGTTGACGCTTAGAGATGATCAATGGAACACACTCTAGCTGTAAGTAGATCAACATGATGCTGTGTGGACATTAAACTGTGAAGTAGATTTACTTTTGCCGGCTAATACCAGCTATCTCTTTACACGTTATACCCTGAAC